GTGACGACCATTGCCACAAATTTCCGAACTTTTCCTAAGAAATTGAGAGATTTTTAAGTATTTCCGAGGATTTCCAAGAACTGTCAAAAGGGATTATAACATTTAGCGGCAATAAATTTCAATTTTAAAACTTCAGACGATATCTATAAGGTTTTTAACATATTTTTATGAATTTGCTGATAATTTCCAAGAAAAGGCAAGGATGTTGAAAGTTTCCAAAAACTGTAAAAGGGCTCAAGGGACTTATTTGAGGTGAATCAGGATTAACAAACAGTTTTAAACCATTTCCAAGAACGTGACGACCATTGCCACAAATTTCCGAACCTTTCCTAAGAAATTGAAAATTTTTTAAGTATTTCCGAGGTTTTATCCAAGAACTGTCAAAAGGGATTTTAGAATTTAGCGGCATTGAATTTCAATTTTAAGACTTCAGAGGATATCTATAAGGTTTTTAACATATTTCCATGCATTTCCTGATAATTTCTAAGAAACGTCAAGTATTTTGCAAGTTTCCAAAAACTGTCAAAGGGCTCCAGGAGCTTATTTGAGGTGAATCAGGATTAACAAACAGTTTTAAACCATTTCCAAGAACGTGACGACCATTGCTACAAATTTCCGAATTTTTCCTAAGAAATTGAGAGATTTTTAAGTATTTCCGAGGATTTCCAAGAACTGTCAAAAGGGATTTCAAAATTTAGCGGAAATAAATATCAATTTTAAGACTTCAAACGATATCTATAAGGTTATTAACATAATTCCATGCATTTCCTGATAATTTCCAGGAAACCACAAGTGTTTTGAAAGTTTCCAAAAACTGTAAAAGGGCTCCAGGGACTTATTTGAGATGAATCAGGATTAACAAAGAGTTTTAAACCATTTCCAAGAACGTGACGACCACTGCCAATAGATTTCCGAATATTTCCTAAGAAACTAAGAAATTTTTAAGTATTTCCGAGGATTTCCAAGAACTGTTAAAAGGGATTTTAAAATTTAGCGGAAATAAATATCAATTTTAAGACTTCAAACGATATCTATAAGGCTATTAACATAATTCCATGCATTTCCTGATAATTTCCAGGAAACCTCAAGTATTTTGAAAGTTTCCAAAAACTGTAAAAGGGCTCCAGGGACTTATTTGAGATGAATCAGGATTAACAAAGAGTTTTAAACCATTTCCAAGAACGTGACGACCACTGCCAATAAATTTCCGAA